GCTTCAGGGCGCTGAACCGTCTCCTCACGTTCCACCTGCTGGAAGCTGCTAGAAATAGTTTGTCTAAAAAGAGAAATCATGTTTTTGTAAACTGATTTCAGCTCCTGTTGGTTCCCGACTCGCTGACAAACGCTTTCTTTTCTTTCTCAGTTGCAAATGAGTCACTTGAGGTGTTGGTTTGGGTCTAATGATGAGGCTGCAGAGTGTCGCCCTACAACCCCCACAGCCCTCGGTTCCCCTCGGTTCCCCTCGGTTCCCCCGTCCTCCCGCTCTTTCTCTGTTACCCATAGCAACCGCAGACAGACACAAGTCCTGCACCCCCACCTGAACGCCACCAGGTGCACACGTGTTCGGGGGAATTAGTGGCTGTGAGTGGAAATGTATCCCGTGTGTGTGTGTTACTGTGTGTGTGTGTGTGCATGTGTGTGTGTGTGTGCGTGTGTGTGTGTGTTAGCAGCAGCATTGGCAGTAACATAATGACTCACACAGGGTCAAGCTCCTTGATGTCAATTTAACCTTAATGACGACTCGCAGCAGCTCCGGTCGCCGGCTGCTGTTTGCTGTTTGCTCTCGTTAGCGCCGCCGTGGCTCTGATTGGACGCTGTTTAAAAAGCTCCACAGTCTGATTCTGGTTTGGAGAAACCGAGTCGAGCCGTGACTTTGATGATTGGAGGCAGTTCTATCAGAACCGAGCGATAATTCCAAACAGTCCAAACATCTGATTTGCAGCCTATTTAAATTTTTTTGTTCAATCAGTCACCATCCTGTTATTCTCTGTTCTGTTGTTTCCTGAAATGATCATTTAGGATAATTCTAAAATATAGAAAAATGGCTGTTCATCTTCATAAAACCAACGGAAATCAACATGAGCTGCTGGTTTTAAAGTAAAAAGTCAAAAAATCCAGAAATGTTCACCCTTTTTTCATATCTCATGTAGAAAAGCATCAAATACGAACGTTTCAGACGATGAAAGCAGCAAATTTTTCATTAATTTTGCAGGAAAAGTGACAAACCGACGTACTGTTTTGTTGCTGATAGACTGATTCATGAACTCTGAGCTACAGGCAGTTTTTTTGTGTTTTTTTCCACATTTTTCTTCACTGTGAGCTCATTTTTTACGGCCATATGAAGTCCTGCAGCTCTGTGGAAACATCACAACCATGACTAGATGTAGACAGAACTCAAACAGACCTCTTGTGTTGTGTGACAAAGTTAGAATGCATGAAATAATAAAAAAAAAAATAAAACTAAAGTAGAATTTCTTTGATAATTTATATTTACAAATAAATAAAAATAAATATACAATGAGCATGTACAGCATTTCCCAAAATGTCCACGAGTGTTACTGACACTTGTGGACTTTTTTTTTTTTTTTACAAACTTTAGATATTTTACTTCTGAACTTGTATTTTTTTCTTCCGTACGTCCTCCTGTGTGCTCAGCGTGAACACAGCCTGCAGTTCAACCAACAAGTCCCACAAGTTTCATCACGACTGTTAGTCACACCTGAGTCCGTCGTAGTTTCTCAGTTGTGCAGAGGAGGGCTGAAGTTTTTGTTTTTTACTAAATCTGGTTCATGTAAACGGTTTATTTTTGCCCAGATTTTTGAAGAAAAAAATTATTTTGACAAAACATCATGATTTTAGGCTCAGATTATCTGGTTAGTAGACCCAGAGCTGTTGGAAAGCTGCAGATCAGACTATGTTTCCTGTTTTTACAGTTTCTAGCTCTGATTTTTGGTGTAATTTTGACAGTTTTTAAATAATGAAAACAGGCCTTTCAAACCCGAGCTGGTGTGTTTGCGGTTCAGACGGTTAAACGTCTGTCGGTTGAACAAAACAGTCGATCTGATGAGTCAGTCAGAGGCACTAGGACTGTGTGATGGACATTTTATATTGTGTCTAGCTTTAAAAAATGAATTAAAAGAATTACAGACTTAATTAATCATGTGAATAATTACTAGTTGTGGCTCTTGTTTGGCTCCCGTTGCCTCTGAGTAACGATGTTTTGATGCTTTTCATCCAGCAAACGTGTTCAGCTTCTGCACCAACAGCATCCCGACGACTTGACAGCAGCAGTGATCAAGTGATGACTGGCTGGGATTTATTCTAACAGAAAACGTTTTTAAAAATAATAATAATAATAATAAAAAACCAGCTGCAATCATGTTTTCATTCAATTTGCACTCGTGAGCTGTAACCGCTGTTTATCCCGCCGAGTGGCGTCAGCTGGGAAACGATGAAGGAGACGTTCTTCTAACGTGACAGAACAGGATAAATAAAGTAAATGAACAAATCCTGAGGGGTGAATTTACTGCTTTTAATCACTAGAAAGTCACTAAACATGATTTTTCTTGTCTAATGTTGAATAAAAATAACCCTGAAATCTTCTCTTTTCTTGTTTTTATCGCTGTCAGTCGTTTTATTGAACTCAGATTCATCTTTTGGTTATTTTTTTTTTGTGTCCTCTTCCGTCCCGGCGCAGGTCGGAGGCGGGACGCCGACGACGCCAAGAACTACATCCGCAAGCTGTACGAGCAGCGCGCCATCAACCCCGACAACAGGGAGGCGTGGAAGACCTTGTATCCGCACTTCACCTGCGCCACCGACACCAGCAACATCCGCCGGGTTTTCAGCGACATCAAGGACACGGTGCTGCTCAAGTCGCTCAGGGACTACGGAGTCATCTGAACCGTAACCGGGACAGAACAGAACACGGAGGAAAACTGGCTGGACTGTTGACTTGGAGCCAGAACAGGAGCGTCGGGTCAGCAGCTCTTCTTAAAGCTTCCTCCTCTTTTCATGAAGAAGCAGGCGGGAAGAGAAGGTGTTTTTCTCCTCACCACCACCATCTCTGCTCCTCCAAGCATGAAGATGTTTCAGGAGGAATCACCCTCACTGCTCTCGGCTTGCAGCTTCCTCCTCCTCCACCCCAACCACGTTTTGATTCCTTTCTTTTTTCGAGGCGTTTGGGTCATCCAGTGACCGAACTGATCTGTAACTGAAGCAGGAGAAGAGATGCTGTGAATGACCTTCTACAGGTGGAGACGGGGTCACGGCGGCGTCACACGGGTTTGAAACGCTTCAGGTGTTTCCATCCAGGTGGAACAGGAGCTCACACGCACTCACAAGCAAACGCAGAAAGTTTATGAGTTAGAACTGCTCTCCTGCAGAACCAACCATTGATCACCGTTATCTCACGCTGCCAGTACTTCCTTCATGTTATCTGCACTCGGCTCGTCTGTCCGTTAACGTGCAGAAAGTCGGAGCAGCTTCTGGCGTCCCTCTGACAGCCGTGTGCGATGACATGCTAACGCCCGGCGACTCTTCTTCTGTGGTAAACGGTTTGTTATGCAACTCCCCGCGTTGGAAAAAGATAAAATACAGGCTTTGTGTTTAAAAAGAGAAGAGAGGAGGGAACACAGCAGGAGAGTGGATCTGCTGTCTGCCGTCGGTGAGTCACCAGAAACAAACCAGGACGGATGGAAAGTTTATATTAAAGCGTGGAAGTTTGCAAAGATTTAAGCCCATTTTCCCGTTTATTAACTTATTTTTCCTGGTGTTTCTTTAGTCAAACATACATTAAGGAGGTAGATCCACCTGCTGGAGACACTGAACCCTTTTCATAGTGTTACCGGGTCTGCCTTATCAACACGGTGTCCACGGTTTGTTCTGCCGCCCACTAGTGTCCAAAAAACAAATCACCTTAAAGGCTGCGTCATGCTTGAGCTACAAAAGCATTTATAAAACAGTAAATTATGCAAAAACAAACCACCAGAAAAGCCTTGGAGTGAAGTTTAAACCTTGAACTGTGAGTCTTATCCTCCGTTTTTACCTTTCAGTTCCCGTAGCGCCCGGAGAAGCTGCACCACCTCCACCTCCATCCGTCTTTATTTATTATTCCTGTCGGCTAAATACCAGAAATTAATGAAAATAAACACCGCAAATTTGATCGCAGCTTTAAAAGGTCACACGTGAGCGAGCGGCGAGATGTTTTCCTGCGAGGAAACGGCTCAGACTAAATTAAAGACGGTGGGGAAAGTTTTTTCTAAACCCCACCAGCAGGTGATCTGCTCTGCTGAGTAAAGGGTAAAGGATATTAAAGTGAGCTCGGAGGGAACTTTATCATCCTGAAGTGAGAGTTCTTCCCCCTCTGACTGGAACATGTCTCTGAAACGAAGCGACCTGGACGTGACGCTGACGTTTGCTCACCGCCGTGCCTTCATTCAGCGCCGTGGCTCAGAAACCTTTAGGATGCCTTCAGACACACGTGTGTGATTTTACTGTCCATGAACTGATGACTACTATCCTGATTGATTTGTAACTGCTGTATTTTGTATTATTATTTCTGACCAGGAGCTCGTTTATAACGGCGTCTCTGGAGGGTTTGCCAGTGAGCTGCTTTCTTCACTGGGAAACCTCCTCCTGAGCGGCGCCGGTGGATGATCTGGGGTAGACTCGGGTGGAGGACGTGGGCAAACACTGGGTTTTTTTCTAGTTAATATTAAAAGCAAACTTTTGAACACACTCTCCTCTGCTTGCTTGTGTTTGTCTGTTTGGATCTGGCCTGACAGAGTCTCCTCGTCTCCGCCACGCTGTCACCAGATAAATAAGACCTCGCAGGTGGCAAATGAAACGCTGCAGGATTTGCATTGAGTGACACGTAGACGCAGGACTTGCTTCCATCAGACAGCATGTGTGAGTGTCGAGGTGCAGACATCTGAGAACAGATGTCACATCACACAGGACCAAACTCAGACTCAACGTTTCCTGGTCGAGTCTTCAGAGGACGTTTGTTTGAGCTTCTCATAGCTTCTCATTAGCGACTGATTAATCACAGTTCAGTCACACGTTCCTCCTGCCGACAGCTGCACACAGCACACGACACGTTTACAGAACAAATATCGACGAACAAAAAGACGTAAAGCGCAGAAAACCCACCGAGGAGTGCTGCTGTAATGAGTTCAGGCAACCCGACAGGCCGTCAGAGCAGCGAGCCGCCAGAGCGTCAGGCCGCGACCCAACGGCCCGGCTGACTGTCAGCCTCATCCACCTGATCTGACGTGTGTGTGTGTGTGTGTGTGTGTGTGTGTGTGCGAGGCAGCAAGGTGTGCAGGTGTGCATGTAAAGGTCCTGGACAGAAGCAGATGTGCTGCTCTGTTAGCAGCTTTCTCACTGCAGCAGAATCGTATTAATCATGTTTTTCGGGGGCAAATGTCTTATTTTTGAATCTCACGTTGTAGATGCAGGTTTGGATTGAAACACCAAACACCAGACCAACATGTCTGAATCTTCCTTCATGGTGGAGTCATGTCGTGTTTCCTTCCTAAGGCTGCAACGGATTCACTGACTTTAAACTCTGAATGTATTCTGCTATGTTTAGGTGGCTGTCTTTGAGTCTCAAGCTATGCGAAGCTAAGCTAAGCTATGCTAAGCTAAGCTATGCTAAACTAAGCTAAACTATGCTAAGCTAAGCTAAGCTAAGCCTTTATTAATCCCACAGTGAGAAAGTTTGCAGTGTTACAGCAGCAAAGGGACGTCAGATTATTCCATACGAGGGTATTTCTAAAAGTTCTCGTCCGTACCAGAAAACGTCACCAATAAAACGATTGTTCCTGCATTATTTTAACACAGAATACTTTCAGTGCAGCTACAGATGTTCAACACAGAAGAAGGTCACGTCCTGAGCCTCCAGCAGCGTGAACCACCTCACCATCAGAATAACGACCACTCAGCAGTTTGGTAGCAGACAGAGATAAACGGTGCCGGTCATGAAGCAGCAGCTCAAAGCCACATCTGGATGCTTCCTCCACCTGCACCGGCCCAGAGCAACAGCAAAAAGCTTTAGTCTCATTTTATCTTGACCAGTGATGTAAACCTTCATAGCACACTGTTATGCCCCAGAAAGGTAGTTACACCTGTTGTTTGTAGGTGGTGCTGAGAACTTTTTGAAGTTCCCTCGCAAGCTGGATTCATCATGTTGCCACGGGAACCAACACGCATTCAATTGGTGATGCAGAAAGCACATAAACGTGTTTTTATACTTCATCATTAACCTTCATTTTCTTTCTTGATTTAACCAGTCGCTGTCCTGCATTATGGGACAGCGTCTGACCGAAACACACTTTAATACCAAATGTTTAAATATATGAAATGTAAAGTTTAGCAGCTCTAATGTGCAGCTGCCATGTTAGAAATGCATCCATCAGTAAAATAAATATATTAACATGCAGTTAACGGTTAAGCAGCATTCCTGTCCACGTCAGTCGTGGCACTTTGTGCTCATCATCGTAGCTCTCCATCATCGCAACCTGGTGACTGAATTAGGCGGCACGTGATTGGTCCATTTCTGTGCAGAAGAAGAGTCAAATGATGGATTAAACACTCTTTAATGGAGGCGAGTCCAAAGCAAAATACCTGGTTAGTAACAACAAATAGCATATCCATTATCTGTGATGGGGGTTTTAGGTTTGGTCAAACAGGCTGACATGAAGAAAGCCTGGATATGTTGAGTTTCAGGAGAGCAGAGACAGACAGAGAACATGCAGGAGAACATAAGCTCTGGGCCAGAATAGATGAGATTTATTTCAGGAAGCCGTCATGACGTCTGACTGGAATCGTCCTCATCAGCTCCCAGAATGAGCTCCAGTGATGGTCAGAAGCTGACATTTGATGTTCCTTCAGGACTTTGTGTCGACGCTCTGCTGACGGAGGAGGGATTTACCAACAGGTGGGACGTCGGCCTCGGTGCTCTGTGCCGGTGACGTGGGATTTTTTAATGTAAATCTCAGATGACATCTTGGGTTACTCCCTCAGATGTCTCTGATCAATCCCCACATCTCAGCCGACGGCGGCTCGGAGGTCCAGCAGCTTCCAGATGACCCTCTGAGCAGAACCAGAGCTGACGCGTGTGGCGCTGATTGGCCGGCGGGCTTTTTAGAAACCTATTTTGCTGCCCGGTTAGTTGCTATGGACTGCTTGTTACTGATAAGAGCCGGTCAAAGCTTTTCCATTTCCACCGATGTTCCTCAAAGCAGAAGCCCACCTGCTGCGCGCTGATCCAACACATGCTGCACATTCACAGAGCTTCTCACGCAGCTCCAATCACAGCCACAGATCCAGAATAGCTGCAGTAATGTAAACACCTGCAGGACACAAAGCAGAGCCACATCTGCAGCGTTCACAGAGGTGAGCTGTGGTGGGTCGTGTGGACCGGGCCGCGCCGCTGCTGGTATTGTGTCGCCGCCCTTGTTCCATTTCACTGTGCTGAGGGAGCCTTTCAAAGCAGCAGAGGCTAGAGAGACAAGAAAAAAAAGGTGCTTATCAGCAGAAGAAATGAATCAATTTGCCAGCATGAATCACCACTCGATTCCCAAAAACAGCTCCAGCGTCTGCAGCAGCTGGCCCTTTGTCGGCTGCTTCTCCCTCGCTGTGTTGCTGCTTCACACACATTTCTCAGCTCCAAGGGTGTCTGAAAGCTGTGCATCAATAAATCCTGACCCGCAGTAACCGAGTCTCTAGAACTACATTACAAACTATTAAGGAGACGTTCTGTCTCGGTGGTAACGGTTCTGTTTGTCTCTGCTCTGCTCTGTCAGGATTAGTTATTGTTCTGTTGTCTTTATCACTTTGTAGATGATGTCGATGATTCCTTCTGCTGCAAGAACGACGACTTAAACATCAGACGCTTAAATCTGAACAATAATATTAATAATATTACTTTTCTCAGTCGTCTGTGCAACGGTAGTGTCGTAAGTAACATTTAAACTTCACTGGCAAGAGTTCAGTGTCATTTATAATGTTCCAGTTTCATTTGAATATTTACATTTTATATTAAACATATATATAATATATACACATTTTTGTATCGTGTTAG